GCTCTATATTTCTTCGCAGCCCGGCGAAACATACCAATTTGAAAAACTAATGGAATGCATAGTCGATATAAAAAACTGGATGACGAGTAATTTCTTACTGCTAAATTCTTAAAAAACAGAGGTGTTAATTATCGGACCTAAAACCTCCGCATGTAATGACCTAAAACACTCTCTAACACTTGATGGCTGCTCTGTCAATTCTTCGTCACCAGTTAGGAACCTTGGTGTGCTATTTGATAGCAATCTTTCGTTAGAAAGCCACGTTTCTTTTAAAGGATGAGATTAAAATTAAAAATTTAGATGATATTCACCCTCTGTTGTGTTTTATGATTAAAGTTAGTAAAATGAACAGAGTAGATAACTTGATAGGTCGAATAAATAATATATTCAAAGAAATGAAGGATACGGGTTTATATATTAAAACAAAATGGGAAATTGAATTAGATAATAAAATAACAAAGGAGATTGGAAACAAAGTTTAAAAGAAAATGTAAGAACTACGCAATCTCCATATTGGCAAGAGTACGCTTGGAAAATCAATATGCGATATTTTATAACACCAGAAATATCTTCCAAATATAATCATTTATTTTCAGCATGTTGGAGAAGCTGCGGTGAACTTAAAGCCTATTATACTCATATATTTTATACTTGCAAAATAAAAATAAAAAATGTGGACAGAAGTAATTCAGGTAATAAAAGAAATTTTTAAGAAATCAAATATAATAAAGGTACAAAATATAGTTTTGGGTATAGGACCTACGCTACTTAGTAAAGATGAGTTATATTTATTTAGAATACTGAGAATGACAGCTTTTAAAACAATAACAAAATTTTGGAGAAGGAAAGAATCCCCAGTTTTAAATGATTGGTTAGATTTACTCTCTAAAGTACACTCTATGGAGAGGATAACATATGAAATTAAGAGTAAAAGTATACATTTTGAAAAGATATGGGCACCTTTAAAATCAAAGTATACATTATAAGATAAAGGAATACATATACTAATTGCCTCTATATAATTCTACCTCCCTTTTAATGTATTCATTAATTGTTTTTATTTATTTAATTAATATTATAATTAATTAGTCTTAAATAATATTATTTGAATTACTTATTAGGAATTAGGTGTCATTATAAGAGTTTGATATGAATATGTGGATGTTTTTTTTCTCTTTACTTTTTTTATATGAAAAAGTGTTAAGGTATGTATTGGTTGTTGTTCTAATTATTATTATTTTATTTTTTTTCTTTATGCATTGGTGATGGGTATTATGACAAAAGAAAAAAAAGTGAGGGAAGAGAAAGTAGAAGGAAAAATTAATAATTGGTAAAAAAAAAAAAAAGATGTCTTTAAAGGAAATGTTCATTTGTATAACTGTATTAAATGTGCTTAAACTGAAAGACAAAGTATATAAAAAATAAAATAAAATAATTGAAAGCATTATTTTTAGATATTTTCGCTTTATTTTAGCTCTCTTTAGCCTCTAACATTTTAAACTGCAATCACATTGAAATCAACAGTGGAAAATATTGACCAAAACCTGTGAGTATAAAAAATGATTATTTATGACAGCTGTAATGGTTCATATCAAAAATGAACACTAGTGTTTAAAAGTTTGGGGTGGGTAAGATTTATTGAAAGAAGTCTCTAATGTTCACCAAGACTAAATATTAGAATTATTAATTTTATATTATATATTATACAGTATATATATTATATTATATTATATTAATTTAACTTTTTTTTTTTTTTGCTATTTTTTGTTTTAAAATATAATTTATTCCTGTAATAGCAAATTATTTGGTGCTCAGGAAACTTTTCCCATTGTTATCAGTGTTAAAAACATTTAATATTTTTCCATTTCAATTTTATAAGTTATTGATGCACTGTGATGTGATGCATTATTTTCAGGGTTCTAGAAAGCTTGAAAGAACAGCATTTATTTAAAATAGAAATCTTTTGTAACATTATGAGTGTTTTTGCTGTCACTTTCGATCAGTTAAATGCATCATTGCTGAATTAAAGTATTCTTTAAAAAAAATAAAAATAAAGAATGATCCAAAATCTTTGAATCAATTAAATGAATAAATTGCAGTTTTTGCCAAACTGTGTTTTTGGTGTATTTGTGTTAGTGGTCGACCGATATATCGGCCGATATTTGGCATTTTTCAAATATCGGCATCGGCCGATAAGTTTTCCTGTTTGGCTGATGCGTTTGAGGCGGGACTTTTATTTTGACGGCGCTGAGAACAGCAGCCTAAGCACAGAGTGCTAACATTCTCCCTTTTGTTCACCGTCGTCGTTAACAGTTCTGTCTAATGTGGATAGAAGTCTATCTAATAATCAGATAGAACGGTTAAACAAAGGAATTAAAATGTATACAAAAAGTATTATAACGATTGCTTTTATATTATTAGTAATAGAAACGCAAACATTATATGGATAGAAGTCTATCTAATAATCAGATAGAACGGTTAAACAAAGGAATTAAAATGTATACAAAAAGTATTATAACGATTGCTTTTATATTATTAGTAATAGAAACGCAAACATTATAATACTTTTTTTGTTTGCCGTCAGCATTCAGCAAATACGCATTTATATCATTTAAACAAAACTTTGAATGACTAATGAACATTTAATTTCACAAACCTTGCAAACTAGTCAGATCCAGTTGTGAGATCTTGTGAAGTGTGCATTCATTGGCATCGGCTGTCAAAAAATCAATATCGGTCGACCACTAATTTGTGTATGATTAAAAAAACAAAAAAACATGGCCTCATAAACATAAAAATGCCCCTGAAAACCAGCTACAGGGTGCAACTGACCATATGTTTTAAGTTTAGATGTGGCTAATTTCCTCTGGAGTTCATTGTGGCTAATGTGTGTGTCTGTGCAGGCAAAGTGAATATGAATGTGCAGTGGGAGGACGACTCTATGGAGACTGTGCCTGTGGTACCAGTGCGAATAGCCTTCATGTTGGTGGTCCACGGACGGGCCTCACGCCAGGTGCAGCGTCTCTTCAAGGCCATATACCACTCGTCCCATTTCTACTACATCCATGTGGACCAGGTATGTCTTCAGCACCCATTGAGTTTTATAAATATCATCTATAATGATGAGAATATTCTGAAATGATTGAACAGCAGAAGTTGTGGTGTTGTTCATATGTTAACAACTGTATAAAATACAAAATGTAATAAATTGAAAAATGTTTATATAAAGTGTATATATAAAATATAACTATTTGAACTCACTGATTAGCTAATCGGTTGTTGGGTGAATAGTTGACCATCTCTAAGAGCAATAGTGGGGGATGGAAAGAGATGGGGATGCTGGGTAAACAGTGGGCTCCAACCCTTCCATTCATTGAGTAAGCTGTTTCAAAAGCCTGATGGAGGATTATTAAAGAGCCATACTTCAGTGTCTTCCACACCATTTACTCTCCCAGCTTGGCAAGTGATAGAGTGTGAACATGAAAGGCTGTTTGTTCACACACACACACACACACACATGTAATGCCCCCTCCCTTAATTACACACACATACAAAAATACACTTAATGAGCCACTTGAATTTATGGCAGGAATGCGTAGGGTGAGTACTCTGTCTTGTAATTTCAAAAGAGTAGGATAAAGAGCTGCTTTTCAATCAGTCCATCATCATAGAGACAAGCTTTATGACTCCATAAAAACGAGCAGAGGAAAAGAGAGGAGTTAAAAGGTGGGGTGTTATAACACAGAAAACACACAGGGAATCGAAGTCTGTGATGTTTGTATCTCAAGAAGAACACAGTGCTTCACACTCGCATGCCAAGTTTGTCCCAAGCACTTTTGTGGCCACAAAAAAAACTTTTTAGCATTTTTGTCATGTTTTCTAGTAAAATATCTAAACATCCCAAAAACAAGATATGTAAACTTGAGAAATAAGATCGTGTTAGATAAATAGACTTATTTTTAGCATAATATTTACTAAATTTTAGGAATGCACAATATATGTTTTTTTAAATCTGTAAATAATGGATATATATCAGTCGATTTGGGTTATTTAACTGTGCATTGTGTTTAAATTAACTTAAAGTGAGAGTTGGATGATGGCAAAGGTAATCTTTTAAAAACTCTAATAATTTAATAACACTGTTCTGTGTAATCTTTAGCAAAATTTTAAAATGAATATCAATTTCATATTGTACATTACAATCTTGTGATGCCTAAATTCACTTGTAGCATTTAAAATGATTGATTTGAGTTTTTAGTACTTTATTTTTTATTTATACAAAATTATATTGTATATTAATATTGCCTATTTATTGGTCATAACTTCAAAGTAATTGTTGGCTATCGGATTGAATTTTAATATCTGTGCATCCCTACTATGGAAGCATATAGGTAGCGAAATTCAATTTAAAATGCAATATGCAAAATGGCAACGCAATATTCAAAATGGCAATGTATTTCTGTATTTAAATTTACATTTTCCATTACCCATACGTGCAAAGTTTGGTGCAAAAGTAAAATGAAAATTAAATTATATAATTTACATTTGCCATTTCCAACAGTAGTCTTATATGCAAATTGCATGCAAATTTTAAGGCTTTATAAGTTGCGAAATGAAAATGAAAATGTATAACACAAATTGATTTGATAAGTGTAACATGTCCAAGCAGAAATGGTAGCATAATGATCATTTAAATGCTATTTGTCCTAAATGCATTTAGACTAACAGTTAGAACACTTAGGATTGCGTTTTCATCATGACGCCGTGGGATATTTGTAGCAAAATTCAATTTGAAAATGCATTCCGAGCTGACCACGCCCACCCTCCGTCAATCATTGCTTCAAGGCAGGGATTTGGACGGAAGCGTGTTACGTTTGGATCGTTTGAAACATGGCGGCTGGAGATCTGATAAGATCGTTGAATTCACTGGCAGATGAAGTGGAGCGTGAACAGAGAAATATATGAAGCGTATTCCACGCTAAAATCAAACGTTCGAACGACCGACAGATCGAGCGTCTACCGAACGTCTATCCGAACGTCTTGAGCTTTGAGCGTCTTACACTGCGGGTGACCCACGTGACGACCAGACAAGACGTGATGTCAGCGTCTTGAAATTAGCTGGTTTTTAAACATTTAAGGAGCCAAGCTGCTGTGTAAAGACTATAAATGGACATTACAAGCATTACAATAATGATATTTTATACCTAAAATAATACTCAACCATTTCCTGCATCCTGCTGTACTTCCCTGAATAAGTCTTTAAAGGTGGGCATTGAAAATCATTAAAATTCATTAAATGACCTTTAATAACAGTCATTCAGGACTTTCGTTCAAAAACTCGGGAAGTCTTAATTTCAGACAATTTGTTGTATAATTAATTAATTTAAATTAATGTTTTTATTTTCCTTTTGCAACAAACTTTGCACGTATGGGTAATGGAAAATGTAAATTTAAATACAGAAATACATTGCCATTTTGAATATTGCATTTTAAATTGAATTTCGCTACCTATATGCTTCCATACCCTACTAAAGGTTCTTAGGTTTGTTTAAAACATTTTTACCAATGACGTAAGAAAAGTAAATTGAATTGATTTCATTAAGTCCTATATTATATTGTGCAATTTTGCTTTTGAAGTAAAAGTCTGGAAAACCAGACAAATACACTGACCAAGAAAATGTTGGCATATGCACATATTCCATGAAACTCTGTGCAACCTTACCTGACTGTTTGAAAAAGCCTCATCCACTTCATTCAATCAATTTTTCCCCACAAGGTGCCCTTAGTGGATGGTCAGACTTTGTTTATCTCATAATAACGCTGGTCACGTTTGACAGACTGATCCCAGATAAAGTTCTCAGGCTCCAAATTAACCAGAGCCTGTCTTTTTTCACCCCGCAGCGATCCAACTACCTGCACAGGCAGATGGTGGCTCTGGCTCGCCAGTATCCCAACGTCCGGGTCACACCGTGGCGCATGTCTACAATATGGGGCGGTGCCAGTCTGCTTACCATGTATCTGCAGAGCATGAAGGACCTGCTGGCCATGCGAGATTGGTCCTGGGATTTCTTCATCAACCTGAGTGCTGCTGATTACCCAATCAGGTGAGTCATGATCATCTCGCATTACTCCACTTTTGACTGATTATTCTGTTGATATCATTTGCATTGCTTGGATTGTCATTGTTTTCTCTCAGGGAATGATTCAAGTTTATTGGTTGCCACAGAGAACAATTGAGTTAACACCTGACTAGCATTTAGCTGTGGTTCTGCTGGGAGATTAGTTCCAAGCAATGTCACAATTTAGTTTAGCAAGGGATTATGGGTAATTGTGATCACCATTGGCTGTTAGATCTGGTGTCAACGAGCTTGATGGTTCATAGAACTGTTAAGGGATTACATTTAAACATCTTGCTGAGATTGTACTTGTTTATTCAGAATTAGCTCAATTTAAGAGCCACAACAAAGTAAAAATAAAAAAACAAGGAACTTGAAGATATTGAACTTAGAGGGACTCTGAAATTAAATGAGAGCTTGTGAATTGTTTATGTAAAGTAAAGAGATTATGAATATTAGAAAGGAGCTGCACCAGAAAGTGATGCATAGTTTTTAAAATAGGTTTAAAAAAAATTGTATATATAGAGAGATGGAAAGAAAGGGGAAAATATATATTATTTGTAATATTATTATTATTATTCATTTTTTATGTTATATTAGCAGAATTCTCATTGCAGTCATCTTGAAATTCTAAATAAGTAATAAAAATAATTACTACTGGTATTAATATAATAATACTGGTGGTGTTGTTGTTGTTATTATTATTTATTATTATTATTATTATTATTATGTGTATTATGTTTCAAAATTGTGTATTGGTACAAAATGTGTATTGAACATAAAATAATAACATAATATTGAAAGCATTTGTTTATAATCAGTTTTTAATCAATTTTTTTAAGTCCAGGATTTTTCTTTCCCAAATATTCTTCACATTACAAAAAAAATACCCCAGTATTCCAGTATCTCATCACATTACCTGTAACTCAATGTGGCAGTTCTGTCTGTAAGCCGACCTGCGTCTGAAGATTTGAATTATCACCATGATAAATGCCATTAGTGTGCATAACTCTTCAGTCCATAATGAGAGCAGGATGAGAGGTTGAGTAAGCCAGCTACTCCCCCGGCTGCAATCAATATTACAGCCATGTCATTTTCTGCAGCCCTCAGAAATCAGGGTGTTAGAGATCGATACAGCCCTGTGATGAATTCTGGCTTGTCCCACGCTGCCGTTCAAGGTTAAACCTGCCTCTCTATCACTCCGTCGCACGCCACACCTCCAGACCGGAGAGGAAAGTTACCAATGAGCCAAAGCCCCTTTAAAGTGGAACATCAAAGAAAAATAATATGATACTTTTCATCTCTAGCTCGGAGTCGGGTTCAGGTGCGAGCTATAAGTAGCCTGTCAGTGTGTGTGTGTGTGTGTGTGTAGTGCAGTGATGTAGTTGCTATCATTTGTATTATACTGTGCAGAAACACCATTTCTCTAAAACATGAGGACAAATCGCTCCATTAAGGAGTCCGATCCGGCTCCTCCGGTCGTGGTGATGGAGAGTTATTTCTCAGTCCACTATCACAACAGAAACACAGGTCAGCAGAGAGGAAGCTGTAAGGAAAATACTCCACAAAAGAAATGTTGAAAGACAGCGTGAAGTCCACAACATGAAAAAGTATGTTCATTTATGTTTATATGCTTATGTACCCTTCATCAAGTGTTGCCACCACAGACTTCTGTTTCTGTCTGTCTGTGGCATTAAAATGTATAGATTGCAAGAGTGCCTGTCCACTTGTTTAGTGAAGTATTTTTTTTTCCATTCAACTCTTTAAGAGTTGTAAGTGTTCATTTAGGAGTTATATGAACAAAACCAACCAGCTTCAAATCAAGCTACAAACCTTGATTTGAAGCAAAGAAATATATGAAAATTGGTACAAAAAACAAGGGTACAAAATGTATGAATGCATTTAAGGAATTTAATGAGGGACTATTGAAATATATAAATAGCCATTTGCTTTTAATTTATCTAGACAAAAGACAAAAAAAGATTAGAATTTAGATCCTAGATTAGAATTTAGAATTTTAGATTTTTAGGTAAATAGATAGGATTTTATTTTGTGAATCCTCTCTAAATTCTATTTTAATTAAATTTAATTTTTTTAATAAATGATATCTTGTACAAATTTGCTTCTCACACAGGGTGATTGTTTTTTCCCAGATGTTTAGATATTTATATACAACTATATTTTATGTGTATTGCAAAATATGCATATTATACATGCAAGTAGTTTGAGAGTCTAAGGAAACTGACTTTAAAAAAATTCACAATGCAGTGCATCATGGGAGTGGCCTGGCACTTACCTGCTCGTTTGGCATAGTTTAGACTGTTGCACTCCAGTGCTGTAGGTGAAAGATCTCCTCTGATTGGACAGAAGTGAGCACAGACTGATAGGTCAAGTTTGGACTCCATTAGACCTAATCTCAATTTGGCTACAAAGATTGAAGGGTTATCTTCCTGACATTGAATGTTTTTCCCACTCTTGCCCCCAATGGCCTTTGACGGAGGAAGCGAGTGCAAGACAGGAAGTGAGGTGAGAGACAGACAGAGATGAAGCCACAGACAATGTTCAGCTGCACGCCTGACTTCAGCGTGTTTGCAGAAGGTTGACTTTAGTGACACTGCAGACTGCGCTCAGCTTCATAGCGGCTTCATAATTGCGTATGACAGCACGTGTTAGAGGTCCTCGGGGGACGTCTTCAGTCTTGGCCTTCCTAAAGACCTGTGCACAGCCCTGTTGCAGAACGCTTTGTCCGCATGTCGTGACTGCGGTGCCGAAGGGATGTGCGGTACCTGCGTCTAGTGACTTAGCTGCTTATTTTCCCCTCTAATTCCCTCCTGATGTCCGTCCTTCTGCATGGATGCCTGTGAAAGGGGCTGACAAAAAGCTCTCTGCTCTATAGTCGAGCCTGGACGCCAGGGGCGGAGGGCTCTGTTACACAGTGGCTTTGTTGAGAGCGCTGGGCTCTTTTCTTCCATTTATCCGCACCATCTTGCTCTTTTTCTCCAGCCCAGTTTGTAAGTCAGCTCAGCTGCATTTATGGCCTTTTCATGAAGAGAGAAAAGGAGAAAACAATGAGTCTGGACTCTGTTGTTCTCTTCTTCCCATGTGGTCACATGGGCTCCATGATGCCCTCTTCTGGAACGGAGCAGCTCTATAAACCGTTTCGGAATGAAATACTAGCTTACTAAGTACTATGCAGTATATACTGTATTTAATATATATCCTATATTCAGGTTACTATATGAAAAATTGTAAAAACCATTTCAAATTCAGTTATTGAAAATAAATACAAATGTGACCCTGGAGCACAAAACCAGTCTTAAGTCGCTGGGGTATATTTGTAGCAATAGCCAAAAATACATTGTATGGGTCAAAATGATAGATTTTTCTTTTATGCCAAAAATCATCAGGATATTAAGTAAAGATCATGTTCCATGAAGATATTTTGTAAATTTCCTACCGTAAATATATCAAAACTTAATTTTTGATTAGTAATATGCATTGCTAAGAACTTAATTTGGACAACTTTAAAGGTGTAAATATTTTAATTTTTTTGCACCCTCAGATTCCAGATTTTCAAATAGTTGTATTTCGACCAAATATGGTCCAATCCTAACAAACCATACATCAATGGAAAGCTTATTTATTCTTATTATTATTTATAAATTAGAGATGCACCGATCTATAGACCAGGGATCGGAATCAGCCGATTTTCCTCATGATCGGCCCAGATCTGTGTTCGGCCGGTCAGTCTCACTTCTTTCAGATTTCGAGCCAATCCGTTTTGTTACCAGTGGCACAGGCAATAACATCAGCCGCGCATTCTCGCTCTCTTCTCTCCGACGACCCCTTCTCTCTCACACACGTCTCATTCGCTCTGGTTAAATAGTGCTTGTATTGCGCATTATTTTAGTCATTCCCGCAGGTTTCGCGCTTATACCAAACGCGCGCGCACCACCACTGATCTATATTAGTGGAGCGCACAATCCGCGCTCAGTCTCAAACAGCTTGTGAGCCACAAATACCAAAATGAGTGGCTAACTGCGCTAAAACGTTCAAATACATACAAAATTATGTCAAAATGCCCGTCTTGGCGAGTATCCAGTTAAACATCAGTTTTGGGAAAAAGAAAGAGAACGCATGTTGTGTAACAGTATATCTTTACTTGTGTTTTTTTATGAAAATGAAATTTTGCGTTGAAGAAAAGTAGATTTTTGTTTGTATATGCTGTCAATTATAGTTCTTAGAAAGAAAATCGGAATCAGCAAAAATCGGTATCGGCAGATCACACTAACAAAAAATCGGAATCGGCCAAGAAAATTGCAATCGGTGCACCTCTAGTATAAATCTCAGTTTTGAAAAATTGACACTTTAGACTGGTTTTGTGGTCCAGGGTCACAAATGTAAATACAAATGTTAATGTGAATTATAAGGTTAATGAGAATTTAAAAGTAAAATTTAATGGTACATTTAAGTCTCCCATTGGCTTTCATTTCCTGTAATTTGCATTCTGAATTATGATTTGTCGTCTTGCATTTATTTGTGTACTTATATGTGATTTTATAATTTTTTGCATATGCAGTATGCAATAAATATTTCATATTGTATTATGCTAAATCGTTGGCACATGACCTCACTATGTTGCATTCAGTTATTGAAAATAAATGCATATATATAATTTTTTTTTTCATTTTTGGTACTGAACTTCCAGTTCATTCATCACTATTGAGATCCAGTTGGGCACATTGCATTATGGTATACAGTATGGTGTCCTCATGGTTGCATTCTGTGCAATTGTAGCAGGTCATCCAAGTATTCCATGCCTAGAGAAATTTTTGAGAGACCTCAAAAATTAAGCATAAACATCCCCTCTGTCTCTCTTTCCCCTGCTCCCTCCCACTCAGACTGTTGCACATTATTATTGCACAGTTTTGACGGCACTGCAGTCAGATTTCAAATCTTGCTGGTAGCTCGGTTACAGAATACAGCACTCTAATAGCCTGAGGTCTGAGTTTAGCCAGCGCAGGGAGTGACTGGCAGCTGTACATGCACTGAGCACTGGAGCAGGGTTTCATTTCAAATGCCACACTGGCTTTCCCATGCTGATCTTTGGCAAACAGGAAGACACTGTAGGTCAGAGTGCATTTGTGTGTGTTGATCTGTTTACCACAGCAGTTAAACATTTAACGTGGCAACAAATTCACCTCAGCTATTTATAACTTCTTGGTTGCAAACAAACACATTTGTTGCCTTCAAAATAGGAGACAGTTTTCTTCTTCACTTATTTTTGCAATTAATTCAGAACCAACCAATCTTTTTCCTGAAAATCCTAGCTAATTTTAACTCGTAGGATAAAAACTTACAGACTTTGCACATACAAGATATAACAATTTCCTTTTTTTTTTCCTGACCTTGTTACACTTGTGGTGTTCCTGGTCAAAAATGACCAACCTACAAAAAATTGCTTGTATATTTCTTGTTTTGCTATATTATTACCAAAAATTGGAATCGATCTTTTATCAATTAGCACAAGTTTTGTATTTGGTTTTTGGAATGGATGGCTTTATGTTCTGAGCTTATGCACCACATTTGTGGGGTGAACATTGCCAAAATTATCCACAATAAAAAAAACACTTTTTTCACAACCAGTTCCAAAAAGAAATATAAAACCAGTGCTAATTGAAAAAAAACAAGTTGACAAAAAGATTTAATCCAAGATTTTGTGATCATAAAGCATAATGGCAGACTTAAGACATTTTTAAAGGTAGCCATTTTTGGCTGGGAACACCAACTTAGGTAAAGGATTTTCACCACAGCACATGGGGTAAAATTTGTAAGCTTTATAAGTCAATTATAAGGTTATAATAAGAATTTTAAAGTGAAATATGATGGTACGGCGCCTATAACATTGCAGTCCCTCATTGACTTTCATTGTAAGAATGTTCACAATTACTATCTAACAGTAATTTGCATACTCCCTTGCGGTTCTTGTTCACAGTCAAGGCTAGTAACCAGAAAGATGCTGGTTTGATCCCCAGAAATGTGAGCCATGACTGTTGTTCCTTTGAGCAAGCCATTTCTCAAATTCCACTTTCCCTGGTATTGCGATAAATAGAGATTTTATTATTCTTTTTATCTTCAGTGTGAAGTTCTTTCCTCTGTAGCAGAAGCCTGCAGTGAAAAAAACAAACAAATGTGTGAGAGGAGTGTGTATGGGGAAAACTGACTACAGACGTTGAGGCAATGCATTGCGACAGGCGGTGAAACCGGGCAGCTGGCATCAGGGGCTGAATCTGGCTCTGTATGTGAGCTTGGACTCACCCACAATCCCTCGTGCTCCGCGCTCATTTACACTGTGGCTCATTAGCCTGATTAGCAAACTCTCTGTTACTCTTTCTCTCTTTCACTTGTTTTCTGGTTTCCCTTCCAACATTTTTTCAATGTCTCCTCAGGACCAATGATCAGCTGGTGGCCTTCCTGTCCAAATACAGAGATATGAATTTCATCAAGTCCCACGGGAGAGATAACGCTCGGTGAGTGCTGACGTGTGATCACGCTGATGGCTTATGGTGCCCAAGACACTCAAACACGTGCCAGTCGCACAGAAGGGTGCCTTTTATAACCGACAAAAATACATTTGTAATTTGCATTGTTGATAATCGCCAACAGATTCATCAGAAAACAAGGTTTGGACCGGCTTTTCTTCGAGTGTGACACCCATATGTGGAGACTTGGAGACAGGAAAATTCCAGAAGGCATATCTGTGGATGGAGGCTCTGACTGGTTTCTGCTCAACCGAATGTTCGTGGAGTACGTCATCAACACTCAAGATGACCTTGTGACCAACATGAAACGTTTCTACACGTACACACTCTTACCTGCAGAGGTGAGACACCAAAATTATGTAAAATGAATGTCAAAGAAGTACAAATGTGTTGTTTTCCAGAAAAAAAAATATCTAAAGATTCTTGAAGGGATAGTTCACCCAAAAATAAAAATTCTGTCAATAATTACTCTCCTATCGTTCATCTTCAGAACACAAATTAAGATATTTCTGATGAAATCCGAGAGCTTTCTGGCCCTGCATAGACAGCAACGCAACTACCATGCTCAAGGCCCAGAAAGGTAGTAAAGACATCGATATAATAGTCCATGTGACATCAGTGGACTGTGACATCATATTGTTGAATAAAGTCTTTTTTATTGTTTTCTTTGTGAACAAAAAGTATTCTCGTAGCTTCATAAAATTAAGGTTGAACCACAGAACCACAGACTATTTTAATGATGTCCTTACTACCTTTCTGGGCCTTGAACGTGGTAGTTGCATTGCTGTCTATGCAGGATCAGAAAGCTCTCAGATTTCATCAAAAATATCTTAATTTGTGTTCCGAAGATGAACGAAGGTTTTACAGGTTTGGAACGACATGAGTGTGAGTACTTAATGACAGAATTTTCATTTTTGGGTGAACTATCCCTTTAAAGCAATGGAAATTCACTATAGAGAGAATATATTTTGCATGACATTTATTATTGTTTTTTCTTGTTTTGAACAAATCTAAAGGAATTTATGAGTGGAGTTTAAGTTTAAAACAAGTTAAAAAAAAATGGGGTAAGAAAAATGAAGTATAATATTCTTATATTCATAATAATATATATTCTCTGAAAACGATTATCTTGCACAATTTTCTTTGTTGAATTAAATGCATCTTGTTTTAAGGATATTTAGTTTTTTTTTTTCCTACAAAAACAAGACGATAATAATGATCAAGAAAATGACTTTGCATTGCACAATATTCCAAGGATTCTGCTACATTAATTCACTAGATTGGCGTTTCATTAATATTTCTCACTTATTCATGAGTTTGACGTTTACGTTGATAAATTGAGTAAATTTCCAAAAAGCGAGATGAATTTGCATCGTTTTATTTGCTCATTTGCATTGTGTTTGCTCATTTGAAATGACTGTGTCAAATGTGTTAGTTTTAATGAAGGGCTTTTTGCCGTGCTGCAGCGAAATTGGATTCTTCGCTCTGTCTAGGGCTAGTTATTCACCGCTGAGATATTGGATATTTTGGCTTGAGAAGGCAATTGGCCCTTTTTCACTGATGTAGACATTTAACACACTAGACCTCCTGACAGGGCCATTCTGTTAGACATCCATCTTCATTTTATCAGATGTCATTATTCTGTTTCAACCTCTTAGTCATCTATTTTCTTCTCTTGCTCTTCACCTCTCACCGTCCCTTCCTATTTATCATCCTCCTCCTCCCCGATCCTCTCTCTGTCTTCGCAGTCGTTCTTCCACACAGTTCTGGAGAACAGCCCGCACTGCGAGAGCATGGTGGACAACAACCTCCGCATCACCAACTGGAATCGAAAGCTGGGCTGCAAGTGTCAATACAAGCACATCGTGGACTGGTGCGGCTGCTCGCCGAACGACTTCAAGCCCTCCGACCTGCCCCGTTTCCAGGTGAGCGTCTCGTACCCTTCCCACGATGCTCTCAGCCCTCTTGGTGTCCGACTGTATCAGTGCAGCTGGCGCTAACAGGAACAGTTCGATGAACCCGATCATTAGTTAAACACTTTTAAAGCCGTTTCCGTGACAGCGCTGACCTCACGCCCGAAGGAGACCTACGCCGCGTCCTGTTTAGTCTGAATAAGCACAATAGGCCTTTAATTTACCTTTAACAAGCACCTAATAGTGTGAGACAAGCTCTCCAGTCAGTAGCGATTTCAATCGTGATTAGAAATCCAATGAGACTCAACTAAAGGAAAGCCTTGCTAACTCGTGCCTACACAGGGGATCTGTAATTAACTGTGGCCGGCAGAAAAGGACGATGAGGGATCAATTGCGAGGCGGTCTCTCATCAAAAGGATTCTGGTAGTGAGTCTAGTATAGTGGAATGAGGCTGTGGAGCTTGACCGCAGCAGCTGATTCCCTTCTCTCCCCCCCCACCTTTGTTCTGGAAGTCTCTCATTAGCCTCCAGAGTCGATCCTAACCTGGTCATGCCCGACCCCGGTGACTCACTCTCTTGAAATGAGTTTGAAAGTTGTCATTCCCAGCCTGGTGATTTTCACATAGCTGGCTGTGCTTAATTTTTTCCATTCCGCTGCAACAGAACTGCAACTTTGCATTTTCTCTCGTGTTGCTTGCAGTATGGTTTCACATTAAACCACGTTTCATCATAAACTCGCTTTCACGTTATGGTATTACAACTGTGAAATTATAAACAAAAAATGCACATTTTCTAAGACATGAACTGAAATTAATTGTGAATTTTATTAACATTAAATCGTCCTCCTCCCATTTTCACCTCAAAATTATGGGGAAGCTGTGCCTCCCCTGCCTCCCCCGACGAGCCGCCACTGAAACTCCCTATTGTGAGCTTGTGTGCCAAACCATGACATCATCACCGTGTGCCACATCAGGCAGCTTTGCCACTTGCTTGCTTTTTCCCAAAACCTACCAGCTGATGAAGCTACTTTTTTTTTTTCTTTTTTTTTTCCATTTAACCACAATGGTGGATCTTGATGTTCATATATTCGAATTAAAGTACAAAAAAAATTAAAGTAATTTTGGCCCTGTTATTTATAACTAGTGTTTCCTCTTTTAAATAAGGGCTGAAAACCCAGCTCCATCATCGGCATATTTCGAGCCTCGCTAAATGTTTACAGCCACAACTGCTCTTCATAATGGAGTCCTTTCACAGAGCCTGCGGGTTAACTCATTCAGGCCTGTGCTGGGGGAAGGGTCTGCGAGCGTTTAGCGGGTCATTATCACTGAAGGCATGCCCATAGTGAGTATTAAGTAATTATTCTGTGACAATACCTCCTTTCTCACAGACAGCTCTGAAGAAAACGGACAATGGGAGAGGAAGGGAGGCTTGAAATGTGTCATGGCAGTTCAGTTTTTATCCACGCATTTCTCACCCCTCACCCTATAGAGGCCCAAACCGTATAAAAGAGCTCTCTCGACATGCCTCTCCAAATCACTTTATTATATTTCTTTATGCTTTCTCTTTTTCTCCCATCTTTTGACTTTTTAAAAAAATAGTTGAATTTTGTTTAAAAGGATAGTTCACCCAAAAATGAAAATTCATGAAAGGAAATATATTAAAGAATTGTACTGGTCACTTTTTTTCAATGCAATAATAATAAAAAGAATCACGAGCTGCGATATCTATTCCATGAGCAATATTCAAATAAATACATCAGTCCAGTTTAACAGTCTGAATGATTTGTTTATGAATCAGTCTTTTGAATCAGATCTTTCCAATGAATCGTTTGATTTAGTTCACACTCACAGTACACTTTAGTGCTATATTGAATTTAATAACAGTTTTTACAGTGGCACACACTGTATAAAGTTCTAGATTGCATAACTCACAACTTTCACCATTGTTTTGTCAGCTGAACAATCGGTATGTTGTTAAATAATAGTACAATCTATTGAATGCACTGCATTTCTATCCCTCACAGTCTTGTTTTCCGTCCTGTCAGAAATGATGGCGCTACCCTGGCTAAGGTCTATTAACGGTTTAAATGATTTGTTTACAAGTCATACTGCTCTAGTTTTCCTGAACTTTTTCTTTGGTGTTGCACGGAATAAAAAAAGTCATATGGGGTTGGAAAGCCATGAGGATGAGTACATGATGACAGAATCTTAATTTTGGGAAATTTTTGTTCCTTTCATGACTCGTGTTTTGATTTTTCCATCTTCTAGGACGCTCTCCTGAAAGATGTCTGTCAGGGGTCTGATGTTGCCTGAAAACTATTTCAAGAATGAAGATTTTTGAAATTTTTGGTTCTTCACAGATGTCGTCCTTCTTCTTATCTGTTTTATGTTACACATGTTAGTCTGCGGGGAGGCGAGGTGGATGTGAATAAAAAGCAACACCACCGTTTCATGCCAGACATATGCCACTTTGATTTTTACTTTTTGCCGTCAATTATCTCTGGAGAATTTCCGTTTCTGATTCTTTTAGCTTTTTCCCCTTCTAGCACATCATTCTGGATGGTGTGTCACGCTTTTCAGTTTTCCGTCGCTTCGCTCTGTCACTATCTCTCTTTCTCTTCCTGTTTCTCACAGTCTCAGCAGGTTGTCTTGTCTATCAGCGTCTCTTTGTCTTCACACTCACGCTCTCTATTTCTTTCTCTCTCTGTCTTTGTCTCCATCAGCAAACCACCAGGCCCATATTCTTCGCAAGGAAGTTTGAAGCCAGTGTAAATCAAGAGATAGTGAATCAGCTGGATGCCTTCCTGTTCGGGAGTATGCCCCAGGGCACGCCGGGTCTCAAGGCCTACTGGGAGAATGTTTTTGATGAAGAGGATGGTATTCACAGCCTGTCCGACGCGCATCTCACTCACTATCATGCCTTCGCCCGATTGGGTCTGGCACGGACTACCAACTCGTTACAGGGTGACAACAGCTGCAGGTCAGTACGCAGTCTATTGTATGTTTCATTGAAGTGCAAAATGAGTTGTCAGGATTAGCTGTTTGTGTTTAGATCAGTGTTGTTAGACTGCAGAGTTTAGCTCAAATCCTGATCAAACTCACTTACCTGTGATTTTCTAGGGATCCTAAAGACTTTGAGCTTGCACAGGTGTGTTTGATTAGGGTTGGAGCTAAACTCTGCAGAACATTAGCTCTCCAGGGCAAGATCTGAGGAACCCTGGTTTAGATTATCTAAGTCTATCGTTTTGACTTGTTTGGGGTTTGCCATTGGCTTTTGTTGTATGGAAATGAGCAGCTTGCACCTTTCTGAAAATCAGTGGGTTTGCTTCAGGACCCAGATTTTACACTGAAAATCATGAGACGACTTAAACTGGTTGATGATAGTTGAATGATGATGGTTTCATGTTCAGCAGTCAATAATTCATTGCACATTATAGTCGATACAAAACTGTTTTTTAATCCTTATTGCAAGAGAACCTGTTTTTAATGTAGTTAATCTTATTTTAATAGGTTTCTTAATAGTTTTTAAGGATTTCAAGATGACATCTCATTTTGCTAGCTTCTAACAAGTCAGATGAATTTGCACCAAAATTACAAGGAATCTGATTGGATGCACAGCTTTTGACATTGTCACGAAAAAAATATGTGAATTACTGTAGAAAAGTCAATTTTCAATCATTTTTAAAAGTGATTTTAAAATTATAGATAATTTAATCAAAATTGTTAATACTACACCCTACTTTTGATTTATATTTAAAGAAATATAGTAAATAATTGGTATTTCATTTAATACATTTTCAGCCCACTGTGTTTTAATACGGTTTGAATATTAATTTAGTTTAATTTACTGTTCATTTTATTTTAGCGATAATTTAATTAGTTGATTTGATTACGGTTGTACTCCATTAAAACCCATTAATATTTCTCCATTAAAACCTCCATAAAAATGTTTGGACTGTGAAATATTTCAGAGATTACTTTTGACTTTGAGTTTCAGTTGAGTAATGATTCTGCGACCAGTGTTGGGGGTAACGCATTACAAGTAACGCGAGTTACGTAATCAGATTACTTTTTTCAAGTAACTAGTAAAGTAACGCATTACTTTTTAATTTACAAGAGAATATCTGAGTTACTTTTCAAATAAGTAACACACTAAGTAACGTAATTAGTTACTTTTTTATGGAGTAATGCAATATTGTAATGCATTACTTTTAAAAGTAACTTTCCCCAACACTGTCTGCGACTCTAGATCATCCTTTCTGATTGACATCCCACCAATCACTGCTCTAAATAAATTAACTTCATCATTTTCAAGTGAATTGTTCCTCTAACATTTGTGTGTGTCCATGTTTTTGTTAGTGTGGGTTTTTCATAGTAATTATGTTTTGTTTATAACTGTATGTATATTGGCACTCTAAAAGCTAAAGAACTGCACACTCATTTGTGCTGTCTGCCGAGGGAAGCGCAGCTTTGTTTGATCTCACTCGCAGCAGATCTGAAGTTCCTCAGCTGTCCGAGCATCTGTCATTACTGAGATAGAGAAGAGAGAGAGAGAGACGGACGGACGGACAGAGCCGAGAGAGGATAAGGGACAGAGAGTTTGTTAGTCTGGTTGCTGTGTTTATGTGTTTATCAGTGCAGTAATGGCTGGCGTCGCTTCTGTTTCTGTGCAAGGAGAGCACCGATGCGTTCAGACAAGTGAGCCACAGTATTTGGACCCTGCAGAGGGACTCGTCAACACAAGGAGGTGGTTGTTGCTGGCCGGTGGGGGTTGGGTGGTGGGGCTCGGTGTTTTTCGCAGCCCTCTGTGACATCAGCGGTGAGAGGCTGAGGTGGACCGCTTCAATAGCTGCTCTGTTAGTCCCTGCGTGCTGCCCACCTCCTGCGGTGACAGAGGACGGGGAGGAGGCGAGGGCTGCCGCACCAGTGTAAATATTTGCTGTTCTGCTTGTCAGGCGAGCGGTGCTGGGATGGAGCACCTCTAGCCTGAGCTGGAATACTGATGAGAGCGCGGCGGCAGAGCTCAGGGTGGAGATCGCCGTGAGAGCAGCCGTCCGCTCCGCATGGCCGCCTGCGTCTCTATCAGCTCCTGCTGCTCCTCCTTCTGTCTGTCTGTCTGTCTCAGTGTCTCACAGCCCAGCGCTTCACTCACCTCTCTACAACCCCACGTCTAGAGAAAATAAACTTCACTCAGAATACAAAATGATTGGTTTGGTTGCCCAGAAGTTTTTCAGCTTTTTTTTCAAGTGAAGAGCATGTGAACAAAGCCAGAAGAAACTTTGAAATTGCAAAGACAGTTACTAGTCGAATAACTGGTCTTACGGAAGTCCTATATTTGTTTGTACAGTGCAAACTGTCTAATTTTTTTGGAAGCCTTTTTTTTTTTTTTTTAGAAAGAGAAACTTTTTTCTTTGGAAACCTCTACTCTAACCTTTGATGTAATTAAATGCAAAAGATTAAAAGTATTATTTTCTTTTAAAACACCCCAAGCAAATGGAAAGTAGTGTTATACAAGGAAAAAATCTGGACTAATATGTTTGGGATTATCTAATGTGGAACATTTCTCATGTTAAGCCACCAAAACAAATATATATATATATATATATATTAAAATCATGACCAGTAAGAAATATTATTTATAAGAAATTCCCCAATGAAGGCCCCTTTGGCAAATGTGGCTGAAAGGTCAATTTGGACCCTAAATGCAAGCGTTGCAAATTGTTAAACTAGGGTTAAATGACTTCTTTTGTGCCTTTAGGTATTTTGCCATGGGACATCCTGTGTCTGTCCACATCTACTTCCTGTCTGATGAGTTCCAGGGATACCTGGTCAGACATCATGCCACCAACCTGGCAACCAGCAAACTGGAAACCCTGGAGACCTGGGTTATGCCCAAGCAGTTCTTCAGGTTCACCTATCCACCCAATACCTTCAACAGACTGCAGTTTGCAGAGGTTAGTAAACTCACTGTATTACAACACACACTGGAGAGGAAGTGTTTTCGTATATTCCAGTAGTTAAAGCATGATGGGTAGCACATTTATGTGTTTTCTGTTGAGAACAGAAACTGTCATCGTGCGGTGTTTCATAAATAAAAGTTTTAAGACAATGCGTATTTTGTTCTGGCTCACTGCAGTAAAAATGTCTTGGCAGTCTATAGGTGCCAAATCACCCCTGCGGTACCCTCAGAATATATGCATTGCTAAGAAAATTGACCTCCGAATATTATTGGCAATCTTACACTGCTGCACATTGTGCTTGACATACTCCGTTAAACAACCAATAAAATGGTCATAATTATACACTTACTTTGCTGATGAAAGTGACAAACAATTCAAATTAATGGTGAACAATGACTCTACTCTATTTTGAATTAAAATATTTAATGTTTCACGTGTTAATAATAATAATGCGAGTAATAAAAAGAAATCTAAAAAATGATCTGACTCGAGTTATGGCTGCTTAAATTGTATTTTTGCCATCACAGAAATAAATTGCATTTTAAAGTATAATAAAATAGCAAACAGTTATTATACATAATAGTATAATTATTATTAATAATGTCACAATATTACTGTATTTTTGATCAAGTAAAGTCTGGCTTTATAAGAAGAAGAGACTTCTTTCAAAAACATGACAAAAATCTTACAGACCCCAAATTTTTGAATGGTAGTGTATATCATATATTATATATAAATGTATGACTAGTGCATGTTCTTAATTCATCTGTGTGGGAAAAAGTTGATTTTGGAGCCTGCCTGGATGTCATTTCCCAGCATCCGTCCTTGGGGGACACCCATAGACAAGACAGCAGAGCTGTAAAGTGCTTAAACCAAGTCCAGCTGGGTCTCAGGCATCTTCCCAACAGAATGATCAAATTGATTTGCTATGTTTTACTGAGGTGTGGGCATGGCCGAGGAGGGATCAAGTGTAAGAGACTCCCGCTGTCGGTCACGTCCTCGGTAGAAATTTCTAAGAGTGGCCAGAGGGAGCTAACATTACACGGCTGCAATCCACCAGCACCCCCCATCCCACAAGTCAAATTACCTCACAGTGGGAGAAACATTACATTGGGCACTGCTGATCGTTTGATGCAATTATGCTCATCTCAGCTGGTACTGGCTGTCCCAATTGGTGCCATCTGTTTACTGACGATGGGATCTTGTGCAATTCATTTGGCTGTATGTTCCTCTCTTAGGGAGCCACCGGTATGTACAGAGCTCAGGCATCCCGGAACTCTGGTGTTTTAGGGCAGTGTTTCCCAACCGGGGTGCCGTCTGTCGAGAGCAGGGGTGCCGTGTAAAAAATCATTTTTTAATATTTTTAAATTGCTAAAATGTTCGAAAAAGCAGCTATTATATCATATCAATTTCTGATGTCGCGAGTATATTCTGCAGTTCTTCCCTGCTGTACCGAATATCTATACTTTTCAAAGTATCATATCGAAGTTAGAAATTCAAATATTGTGACAAAATTAATTTTGTAGGGTGCCACAAATGTGTTAAAATTTCCAAAGGGTGCCGCGACTAAAGAAAGGTTGGGAAACACTGTCTTAGGGGACTGAATTTTAAGGATACAGAAAGTTTGTACAGCTTCCATAGCAATGAGGGCCTGTGCAGTGTCTGGAGGGGGTGAACTGACACATCTCTGCATCAGGAGCGACACACTCTGTCTCAGAGGCCTCAGGACTGTGTTCTCTTCCTGCCTCACTTGCCTTCATTCTTCACTTTTACTGCTTCTGCCTCTGCAACTTTGCTTTCGATCAGTGATTCCCAGCCAGGGGTATATGTTACCCAAGGGGTACTCTGGCAGGTTCCAGGGGTACTTGAAAAGATTTTACTTAAACTTATGGAAACATGTTGAAAACTGTGTTAAACTTACAAAATATTATGAGAAATGTAATAGAAGAATATAATAAATCATATAAAATCAATATTAATCTATTTATGTAAAAGCATAAAAATAATTTTCAGATTACGATGAGTTCCTTTTTTAAAGAAACAAAAAAAAATGTTTTGAAAGACATGAATACTTTTATTTTGCATTTAAGGATGCATTTTTTGATGCAACAAAAGTGACAGTAAATTATAATGTACAGTGTTACAAAAGATTTCTATTTCAAATAAATTGTGTTCTTTTAAATTAATATTCATCAAAGTATCACGTTTCTACAAAAATATTAAGCAGCACAATAATAATAAATATTTCTTGAGCAGCAAATCAGCATATTAGAATGATTTCTGAAGGATCATGTGACACTGAAGACTGGAGTAATGATGCTGGAAATTCAGCTTTGCCATCACAGGAATAAATCACATAAAAATGTATTCAAATAAAACAGCTATTTTACATTGTAGTAATATGATGCAATATTACTGTTTTACTATATTTTTCATTAAATAAATGCAGCTTTGGTGAGACGACTTTTAAAAATATTAAAACATTTTACTGACCCCAAACATTTGAACAGTAGTCTGTGTTTGTGATTTATATGTGACTCGATCTGTTATTCACCCACAGCATTGATTTGTTTTATCAATGATTTAAAAGTGACTTTAATATAATTAATCTTCATGTTAAATGATATCCAGAGTGAATGGGAACATTGGTTTGTGTCACTAAAGGGGTACTTGAACCTTACTCACGGGGCTGTGAAGGTTCATTAGGCTAAAAGATTGGGTGGGAACTGCTCTTGACTTTCATGTTAAATATCTGTTTTTGGTTGTTTCCTCTCAATAATCAGATTGGAACAGACTGGGATGCTAAGGAAAGGATATTCCGGAACTTTGGGAATCTGATGGGACCCATGGCCGAGCCTGTGGGGATGCAGAAATGGGGGAAAGGGTCAAATGTGACCATGACTGTGGTGTGGATTGACCCCACCAATGTCATCGCTGCCACCTACGACATCCTGATCGACGCCAGTGCTGAGTTCACTCACTACAGGCCTCCGCTGAACCTGCCCCTGCGGCCCGGCATGTGGACCGTACGTGTGCTGCACCACTGGAGCCCTGTGGCAGAGACGCGCTTTCTCATCACTCCCCTTACCCACCACAAACACCTGCCTATACGCCAAGGTGAGAGTTACACTGTATACGGAAGGTGACAAAGATTCACGAATGAATCGTTCTTTTGAACTGGTTGTTTCTGATGATTCAGTTGAACTGATTCCAAAGTGTGAGAGTCTTCAGTGTAAGAAATTAGTTTGGGGTAAAATGTTGAGTTGGGAGACATGATAGAATTTATGAAGCCTAATTAAAAAGATAGTGAGAAAGTATGTATTTAACAACATTTTTCATCAAAAAAAAAGGAAGACAAAAATACACCGTATGATGATTCAAATTATTCAGTCAATTATTTATTGAACCTATTTTTTTTTAAACGAACCATTTGAACAAAACAATTCCCTAAAAATGAATTAAACTTCTTAACGCTACTCTTTACAATATTGTTCTTATTGTTATTAAATTATCTAAAATTAACTATTTAATATTATAACTGTTTAATTTAATATTAACTATTTAATTTAAATGTATCTATTAAAAACAGTTTTTTTCATATGAAATAAGCTGATGTATAATAACATAAATATTTGATGAAAAATGTAGACAAAATGTAAAATGTAAAAAAAGATTTGGTAACACTTTAGTATAGGGACCAATTCTCACTATTAACTAGTTGCTTACTAGCATGCCTATTATTAACATATTGGCTGTTTATTAGTGCTTATAAAGCACATATTCTGCATGACCATATTCAACATCCATAATCCTACCCAATACCTGAACTTAACAACTACCTTACTAACTATTCATAAGCAGAAGATTAGGAGTTTATTGAGGTAAAAGTCGTAGTTAATGGATTGTTAATATCGAGAATTGGACCTTAAAATAAAGTGTGACCAAGACCAAAGATTTAAATTAGAAAGTTTCCCTTGGCAATTAGCTGAAAGAAAATAAGTTCAAGTTGAAGAACTAATATTATTTACTGATACTAAAATAAAATTTAAATTAAATCTAAACAGAAAAAAACTCATATAAATGACTTAAAATAAATAAAAATGAAAATATAAAAATAAAAGCTAATAGTATATAAAACACTGGATTAAACATACAAATTTTTCACACAAAAAAATATATATAGATAACCTCCAATCCACCAGCTCAAGCATGACATACCAACAACACGTAAAGCTAATGTGGATGCTAAAATACAATCTCCAATCCAAGTTAACAAACATCAGCTTTAAAATTCATGGGGCAAATATAAATCGCTTCCACCACAAACAACATTGTTTTTTTCCTGTCAACTCTCATAGTTGAAAAAATAAACACGGTCTAAACTGGCCATCGTAGCATAGAATATCACTGGAGAAAATGCTCCGCATTTGAAGCTTTGATTTATGCGCTGTTCCAGGATCGTATATTTAAATGATCCTTCCTCCAGATGTAATGACTAATCCTCTTGCATTTTGGGTGCTTTTTTTGAAGACCATAGTCTGACACTATGGTACGCTGTATATTAAACTGCCTCAACCTTTCAGGTCATCCACCCCCCTGCTTTCAAAGGCACTTTCTGCCTTCACGTCTAGCTCTGTTCCTGGGCCGCTCGCTTGCCTATATATAGCCCCGGCTCACAGTCACGAATGAGTAATACACATCACGCCGGGTCACCTTTCATTGAAATAAACTCCAAAAGATTACTGTGCTGGGGCCGCGATTGGTATCTCGAGCCCATTAGGGACATTTGGAAATAAGTGTGGTGTGCGGTCATCAGCGAATCTGTCCTCAAAATGCTCCTAATGAGGGAGAGCTTGTGATTGCGGTTCGGTGTGGGAATGGGCGGGTGATAAACACACGTGATTTACCAGACTGTCGTATGATTAATGTCTACGGCAGGCACCGAGTTCTTTTGCTCTCCGTGCCTCTGCACCCACAGCTAATAAAAGTTTATGGAGTGTGTTTATGCGGCCCAGGTCGGGCGGCACGCTGTAAGCAACGACGCCATCCTATCCATGCACTTCCTGTGAGCGTGAAATGGCATGTTCTGGAAAGGAGGTGGGCCAACCTGGAGAGGGGGGTCAGGAAGAGACACAGAGGGTGATCTGTGAAGGGCGGCTGGAGAGAGAAGTGTGAGGAGCCCGAGGAATTCACCGCTTTACCTCCATCCTCACAGATAAATGAGCTGTTGTTAGCCATCTGGTGTTAGATGATGTGATGCAGACTACTGGTCTAGTTTATATTTGAAGATGTGTTTAAAAATTAAACAAAGTATAGATATTTAATGCCATTTTGATAGAGATTTTGTAAAATCCCAGCTGTAAAGTTTTTCATGCCCTCAAAATAGACTGAATGTATTAAAACTTAGTAAAAGTTAAGTTACAGCATGAAGCCTCTTGTGGCTGGAGACTCGTCATATTTTTCATCATCTTCCTTAGAAATCTTCTGTAACATCATACATGTCTTTAGTCCCTTTTGAGCAATTAAATGTGTCTTTGCAAAATATTTAAAAGAACTAATAAAAATAATTAAATTAAATTACTAAAACAAACTATATTTAAAAACTGAAAATATAAAAATAAAAACTAATTCAAAATACTTTAATAGTATATACACTGTCATTCAGAAGTTTGGGATCAGTAAGATTTTTCATGTTTTTTTAAAGATGTTTCTTATGCTCATCAAGGCTGTATCTATTTGATCAAAAATACAGGGAAAAATATATAATTTTGTGAAATATTATTGCAATTTGAAATAACAGTTTTCTATTTTAATATACTTTAAAATGTAATTTATTCCTGTGATGCAAAGCTGAATTTTCAGCATCATTACTCCTGTCTTCAGTGTCACATGATCCTTCAGAAATCATGCTAATATGATTATTTATAATCAATGTTGGAAACAGTTGTGCTGCTTAATATTTTTTGGGACCTGTGATCATTTTTCCAGGTTTCTTTGACAAATGAAAAGTTAAAAAGAACAGTGTTTATTCAAAATATAAATTTTGTGGTACAATATACACTACTATTTAAACGTTTGGGGTCAGTAAATTTCTTTCTTTTTTTTTAAGAATAATTAATACTCCGCAAGGATGTGTTAAATGGATAAAAAGTGATAGCAAAGACTTATATTGTTAGAAATTTTTTTCTATTTCGAATAATTCAGTGCTGCATCACAGAAATAAATCAGATTTTAAAGTATATTCAAATAGGAAACCAATATGAGAAATTGCAATAATATTTCACAATATTGCTGGGATTTTTTTCTGTATTATTCTGATCAAATAAATACAGCCTTGATGAGCATAAGAGACTCCATTAAAAAACATAAAAAATCTTACTGATCCCAAACTTTTGAGCAGTGTAAATAACTCTGATATAACATTGGTTTATAGATACAGATTTGTACCCACACAAAAATAATAATCTCGTTGACATACAGTGGGTACGGAAAGTATTCAGACCCCCTTAAATCTCCCATCCACCAGCTCAACACACAAATTCAGCACTAACAAACCTTAAAGCTAATGTGGATGTTGCATACTTTCTCCTATCTAAATGAACAAACATTAGCTTTAAAGTTCATTGCGCAAATGAACGACATTGTTTTATAACTCCCATAGCTGAAGAAAATGCAAAAAGTCATCTCTCTTTTTTCACCCACAAAATGAAATCAGGGGGGCTGTTCTTTATTTTTCATGTCTAAAAATGTAAAATGTTCCAGCGAATTCCGTCATAATCCCAGTTTTGCTTTGCTTGCATTAAGTCCTTGCGCATCCTCATGGAAAAACCCCTCTTTTTCTTCTCTCTCTCTCACAGAGGATGCTTTAAGAACGCACAACGGGCCGGCCAAGAACAGCTACATGGAGCAGAGCTTCCACGGCCTGAACCCCATCCTCAACATCCCGGTACACCTGGGTCAGGTCGAAGCGGCCGAACACAACGCAGAGCTTACGGGGTCCGAGCTGGAGCGCTGGGTGGACAGTCTCGTGGGCGAGGTGTGGTCAGCTGTGGACGTGTGTTCAACGGGCCCCAGTGGCTGTCCAGTCATGCAGACTTGCAGGGAAACGGTGTGGAGCTCTCTCAGCCCGGACCCAAAGTCCCAGCTGGGCCCACCCAAAACCAACGGACGAATCAGGTAGCAGCATTCACTGCCCTGAAGACTCGCCTTGTTTCATTTCTTAGGCCATTTTGTTTTTATTATTTATTTTCCAGCATTGCTCATGTGAATATGAGCAAAACGGCCCTCTCTCAAACGCAAGGCACGGGGCCTCGAAAGTGTACACTGGGAAGTTTCTGATGATTTTTGTTTTTTAAATGTGTGCTCTCTCAAACTCTTGAGTGCTCTAGTGATGTGAGTGCTGTCAGGCTTCTCTATATTTAATTTATTTTGATTACTGTGATTGAATCTTTGTCAACTGGAAGCAGCAGGTGATGCCTAAATGTAGGTGTTACAGCTGAATGCTGGGATTTGGGATATTAAGCACAGAATGGACCTTAACACTGGTTGTAAGACCAAAAGGTAGGTTTGTATAGTAAGCCTCTGTATTTAAAAACAAACACCCTTGCACCTAAAATAAATGATAGGAGCGTTTTTCAACCTATACCTTATTAAAACCAATGTTTCAGATCGTATATAACTGTCTGTAGCACAACATTGTGTGTTTCTTTAGTTTTTAGAAAAATAGTTCAATTTTTACAAGGCTTTCACTGGATCAAATGCAGTCAAACAGGCATTTAAAGCCTTCAAACTCCCCTAATAAAGTCTCCTGTTTAGTTTGAATAAGTTATTGGTTGAAAAACATCTGGTTTTAATAAAACTTAGCTTTTGACAAGTAAAAGAGATCCAGTGTCGTGCAAGATGCCAACCTCCACAGAATTCTATGACCTTTGGAGGCAAAGAGGTAGCAGTTAGTTAGTCTGTTCAAAAATGTATCACTCTTCTGTATAATCAAAATGGCCTTTTTGGTTATACTTTTGTAGCAATGGTAGCTACAAACAATAAAAAGGACAAATAAGTGGTGGTTGCATGTACTGTATGTCAAGCTAGCAGGCTTATCAGTTATCAGGCTAGAGATATGCGAAGGCTGGAGAGCTTGCAAGCTAACAGAAAACGGAGAACAGGAAAGGTTTTGAGCATATTTAGCTTTAGTTATGTAATGTGACGGGTGATACATACTACCATACAAAAGTTTGAGGTCAGTACATTTTTGAAAGAAGTCTTTATTCTCACCAAGGATACATTTATTTGATCAACAATGCAGTAAAGCAGTAATAATATGAACTACTGCAAATTAAAATAACTTTTTCTATTGTAATACATTTTAAAATCTAATTTATTCCTTTGATGGTGAAGCTGAATTATCAGCAGCCATCACTCCAGTCTTCAGTGTCACATGATCCTTCAGAAATCATTCTGGTATACTGATTTAGTGCTCAAGATACATTTCCTATTATCACCAGCGTTGAAAACAGCTGTTCTGCTTTTTATTTTATTTTTTTTTTTTTTTGAAAACTTGATGCATTTTTTCAGGATTCTTTAATAGAAAGTTCAAAAGAACATTTATTTAAAATATAAATAATTTATAACATTACAAAAGTATTTACTGTCTCTTATAATCACTTTATTCCATCCTAGATTAATACAAGTATTATTGTCTTCAAAACATCTTACTGACCCTTTTGAACTTTACACTTTTACACTACTGTTCAAAAGTTAAGTAAAGACAGCAAAATTGTTTAGCTAGCAATTTTGTTTTTGTTTTTTACTAACATTTCTAATCGGGCATCAAATAGAGTATCGATAAAATTGTTTTAGTCAATTAGTTCGCTTATGGTCCAAGGGGAAAGGATTCTGTGGAGAGGTCAAAACTTGCACGATACCAAGCTACAATTCTGTAAGCGAGAGAGTCTCGAGTATCTTGTGCGACTGTCTTAAGTATCGTTTTGTCTATGCTGTTCCCCTTCAGGCTCTCGAAACGTAACATGGAAGGTGCCAGCTATGCTGGCACAGCACAAAAAAATGTCATTTCTTTGCCTTTTTATTGTTTTATAATTTTTCCTTTCCCCTGAACAGAGGTACTGGGTAGCTGAGTTAGGTTGTAAGTTGGCTATTTATTCATGTGTTTATATAAATGAAATAGATATTTTTTAGTCAATGACTAATGTCTATATGCTGTTTTTGCAGCTCATTCAATACCTTTTGTAAACAAGCTGCCTTTATTTACAAAGGCTATCATCCCAACCATATTACAACTATAAACACAAGATGCGGTACTAGAACGGGCGTTAGTAAAGACCTTTCTGCCCCTCCACCTGAGGTCCATCTGTTCATTTGACAAACGTTGAGCTCATCGGGAAACTAACTGGATGAATTATCTTAAATGACCTCAAGAATGGAGATTCCAGTCATGCTGCTTGTCATTTTCTTTATTCTAGTGTTTTTATACGAGCCAGTGTTTGGTACTTTCGCCATATATTGCGCAAACGAACAAAAACCGACATGGGCTGGACTGGTTGGTAGCATCCATGCAATTTCAACATGGTTCCTAAAGTTCCTGGGTTCAGTCTCTTTTCTGCACGTACACCGTTTGGACGTCACTTTTTCCAGATTGGGCCATCCGGATTACTCGCATCCATAATAATGATAGGGTGGCCTCTCAGATGTATTTTTAGTGAGTAAGATTGCAAGCTTGCTGGACTCTACAGTTTGCATTGGACCAACATTTTCTCCATTTTTACAAACCTTTTATGTTTCTATATTGCAAATGTACGACTCCATATTTAAAACTGGGCTAGTGTGGCTTGTTGCACTCTCTCATTTGAGGAGCACGTCTCCTCTGGGACTCTGTGACCCTGGCATAGACATCACTTTGTATGCAATCTGATTGTTATCTGGTCCTCCGAGATGTGGCGTCCCGCCCAGGGTGCGCAAACAGTGAAATGTCATTGCTGTCATGTGATCTAAAGGAAGATGCGACCTTAAAATTTCAATAAAGCACTCTTGTCATTCATGTTCCCAGCGGGGTGCGAAATGGGAAAGCATTGTTATTTAAATTTTTTAATAGAGCGTCTATTGCTTGTCTAAGTGGTGTTACATCCGTACTGTACGTGTGAATTGGACCAACATTTTCTCCATTTTTACAAACCTTTTATGTTTCTATATTGCAAATGTACGACTCCATATTTAAAACTGGGCTAGTGTGGCTTGTTGCACTCTCTCATTTGAGGAGCACGTCTCCTCTGGGACTCTGTGACCCTGGCATAGACATCACTTTGTATGCAATCTGATTGTTATCTGGTCCTCCGAGATGTGGCGTCCCGCCCAGGGTGCGCAAACAGTGAAATGTCATTGCTGTCATGTGATCTAAAGGAACATGCGACCTTAAAATTTCAATAAAGCACTCTTGTCATTCATGTTCCCAGCGGGGTGCGAAATGGGAATGCATTGTTATTTAAATTTTTAATAGAGCGTCTATTGCTTGTCTAAGTGGTGTTACATCCGTACTGTACGTGTGAAAGTGCAAATAATTTGATATTCGTAAAAGAGAAATTCTATGAAATTATCTATTCACATACATCTCATTGACTTCTGATTTACGATCTTGGCTGTAAGTGAGGATTCAGCCACTGGATAGTAAAATATTAACGTTAAGATCCATTTTACGCTTAAAGGTGAAGTGTGTCGTGTTCAGATAATCTCCTATTCCAGTTTTGTGTGCAGATTCCTCTCAGTGAATGCAAACACTGTTTTTTATAAAACTGCTGTTTGTCTGAGTTTGGGGCAGGGCGAGAGATGGAGCGTTGCCTAAAACAATACGTGTTCAACTTCGGTTCGATTTAACCGTTTTGCCGCTTGTAGTCAGGAAATGAGGTAAAAACAAAGACAAGACACTTTCTGCTTCCTGTGAGGTTGCTTGCTCTGTTTGTGTACATTCTTTCAGATGAAGTGGATTAGATGCAATGTTTGTCAAATACACAGACATTACAGACCTTTTCATGCAGAAAAAGACAAATTACACACTTCACCTTTAAAGGGATAGTTCATCCAAAGCTGAAAATTCTGTCATGATGTACTCGCCCTCATGTCGTTCCATCTTCTATGGCACACAAAAGAAGAGTTTATTTGAAAAATGTTAATTTTGTCAATGCAATTAAAGTCAGTAGGCTTCAAAACAACACTGGCCCCCACAGCCTTTTTTAATTGAATGGGTAAAAAAAGAAGACCTCTGCAGTGGGCGAATCTAACCTCACAAATACAGCAACATACCGCTTTCTTTCACATTACTTTCACAGAAATATCTAATCTGACGTTCACATTGAAATGATATTTATTACCACATCACTCAGACATCTCTTCTGTACTATAGCTATTTTGGTAGGAATGACAATGTAAAGTATTTTGTATTGGACTGACGTTCATAAAGTATTGTAAATAACCTTGTTTTTAAAAAGCAGTGTCTAAGTGGGTCAGGTTTTGGTGTATTGATTGGCACTGTATAGACTGTCAACATTTTCATGTGAAGGGTTTGTGAAGGGCTGAGTGTGTGGTTTGGGCTCTTAATGAACATTTTTGCCTTTCAGAGAATCTTACGCCAGAATGCCGTTCTTTGTGCTGGAATGTTTTGTTGAGCAACTGTTGCACAATTTATTTCAACTCTTCAGTCGGAGGGGACCTCTGTGCCTTAGCTGTTGTTCCCAACCTTTGTGTCTGTAAGCATCAAACATGTAGTCTCCGTATCTTTCATTTCTCCACGAAACCAAAAAACTGCTGTTGTAAATGCCTTCTGTATCAATGTTCTTTCAGTTTTGCTGTCCTTTTCTTCATACTGAATTTTTGAATAAAAAACACCTTTGTCATCTCATTTCTCCTCATCAGACACAATGCTTCACCAGTAACAAGGCAGGAGAAGCGCTTCTGCAAGGTTTCAGTCACATTTGCAGTAGATAAAGCAGCTGACCTGTGGAGCGCTGCTCTTTAACGCCATTATAAGAGGGTAGGGTCCCTAAAGCTGTGTGTGGGCCCCTGAGGCTGATTTCGGGACTCCCCGCATCGTTCTATGCAGGATCAAAGAGCCACTTTTAGCCCATCGATCTTGTGCTACTTCCACCGACTTACTGAATAGGAAAAGGCAGTCAAATTAGCGGCTACACGGCACACACCTGTCTCACCTGCAGCGTGGAAACACAGCTGTCCCCTTGTCTAGTGTGTCTGGCACTGCTTTGACTGTGTACTGATGTAATCCTGCAGGGCTAATTAGATACTGATATGGGTAGTTAATTGTTGCCACCCTCACCCTCCATCGACAGCCTGGCAGTGGCGCTTTAGGACACACGCATGCTTTCTTAAGCAATCTGTCTGATTTTTAATCTAGACGGTGAGATAATCCAGTGATGTATGATCACTCGCAAATGTTATGCATGCAAAACTGAAAGACCTTGCAGGCATGTAGAGGAGGATGTACAACCAGCTGAAATCATCCCAAAATAACCAGCAACAGGGTTATCAGGACCTTGGCATGAAGTGGAAATGTATCGTCCTCAAGGGGTTTTGCATTATTTTGCAATAATGGCCTACATGACTACTTGCAAATAAAAAAAATACTTATTAAAATGAATAAATTAAATTAATTTAAAATGAAGTTTATTTGCAAAAGCAAATTTTTTTATTGTTATCATGGTTTTATTGTGTATTTTTTAGCTATTTTTTACCTAATCAAAATAACCCAACTGCAGTTTGATTGAGATTAATTGGAATGCACAATGAAAAAAAACATGATTTTTGAAAATTGTTAAAAACGGGAGTTAACCGTTTTTTGCAAATAAACTCTTCATATAATGCAACATATGTACAATATACAATATATTTACAATAATGGCCTTTATTACATGACATCTTACCAAATAAAAAATATATTATTTATAAACTTAATACAACAATACCAATTAATGCTATTACCATTATTATTTAATTCAATTGTATTATAATGCAAATAACATGAATTTATAAGATTTATAAAATTGTATATATATATAAATAAAATAAATTTAATAATCACTACCATTCAAATGTTTAGGGTCAGTATGATTGGATGATTGATTAAAAGAAATCAATAATATATTAGCAAGGACACAATAAATTGACAAAAGTGACAGTTAAAGACATTTATAATGCTACAAAAGATTTATATTTCATATA